ATAGAGAGTATGGAGGAAGTAGGAGGGTAGCGAACAGCTGGATTGGGCTTCGTGGAACTGCGGCGTATGCAACCGCACCGTACAACTACACTACACCGTACATTAAATTGCATAATTCTGTGCTTTAGCAGTTGTGCGGTGCGGTTGCACACGCCGCAATTTCACGACGCCTAATCCAGCTGTTTGCTACCCTCCTACTTCCCCATACTCTCTACTCCCTGTCGCTGGTGAACGCTGGCAGATGCTGTCAGACGCCAGATTGATATCTACACTTTTCTTGTCACTGACGCTGCAGGACGTTCGGAACGGTAAAGCACGCTGGTAAACGCTGGTGGACGCTGCTGCAAGGTGTGGACGCAGCCTTAAGATCTTGAATGGTAAAACATGCTAAGCGCAACCCAAGACGAGAATGATCAACGCCGAATAATTTGTCTTTCATCCATCTAATTAATCGATGAATGTTCCTACCGATTATAGGAAGAAAAGGTCAAAACCGGTAACTGGCCAGTTGTCGTTCAGAGACCTGTGCCGTGAATTGACAAACATGGAACTTCGCATGAGGTCTCAATTTTTTTTCTTTGAACCTGAATCACTGAAAAATGATTGAAATTCTTGTCAAACTGGGCTTAATGAGCCTAACTGTCGATTTACAAGTGGTTTTACTTTTCAACTGCTTACAGAAGACAGTGTGAGAGTTTAAAGCCAGCAGCGGTTCCCAGCTACAAAATGTTCGAGCACGTTGCCGGTGGATACGGTCACAAGTTGGTTAAGGTTGGTACGTCTGTGCTTGGAGTCTTTTGCCTCTTCACTTTCTTCAATAGGGCGTAATCAGCTTAATAGGCCTGTGCAGGTTTGCGCGCAATTTTTAACATCAATTCAGACTCTCCTTTTAATGAGATGTGCTAATTTACCACTGGTAAAATCACAGACATAGGCGGAGACGGTCAAGCCGCTGTGGTATGAGTGACGGGTCGTAACAAGAGGTGTAGCCCACCCAAAAGGAAGGTGCAGCGATTTGCTACGTCTGGAGGATTTTTGGTGGCTTTGGTTTCTGAAATATTTTGGTTGTAACGATAGTCTAGGGGAGGTAGTGAGGGAATAGCACAGCTCTGCGATGAGGCTGTTCTTCACCTCTAATCTGAATTTTCTCCTTTAGCTTGGAACCATACAAATTCAGGTGGAGCGGACGGTCCTCATGAGTTACGAGACTAACATCCTCACGCAGCTAATGGAGCATGGTCCGTACATGTACGACTGGAGGCCGTTCGAACTCGTCTCGCTCCTTTCTCAAGCCGCTGTATGTTATCATAATCAAAACTTATAAACAGAAATGAGCTCGCTGCACACTATCCGAAAGTTTCAGGACATTTTCGAAGGAGAAGCCACCATGCTGACATTAAGAACTCCTATTGCAATTATTGGAGACATAAGAGGACAGTAAGTTCCCGCTCAGTTCCCTCAAAGGTCCATCGGGAAATTAGCTCCTATTCCTAGCATACATACGCATAATGCCCATTTTCTATTCTATTCTAGAATAGAATAGAATAGAAATACAATAATGCCCATTTTTTCGCCAACTTATACGGCGCACTGGGAGTGTTCGGCGACGGGAGGGGAAGGGGGCGATTTGCACTTTTACTGCTTCACTACTTCCAGTTTACAAGTTTCACTCGTGGTAAAACTTGTGAACTCTTGCGAAGCTGGAGTAAGCTCGTCGCCACCATGAAAAAACGTGTCAACTTAAAAAAGGCTATTAAGATGAAACGACACATCCATGGAAGCAAAATGCCACCAACCCCCACCCCGCCTTCCTGTGTTAAACTGGGCCGGTAAACTGATAGAGCCAGAATGCACGAGTGGAAGCGGCTCAGACGCGAACGAGTGGAATAAGGTTGCCCTGAGAGTGGTGAGTCAGGGGTAAGCTAGGAGGTATCCTTCAGACTTCGCGATGGCGCTATCGATGCGAAGTCTGAACGCTGCCTGAGTAAGGTTGGCCCACTACATCGAAAGTTTTCCGTCTTCTGAGGATCTATAGAGAGATCGATGTTCACCTCCAACGCGGAGTTCACCGTGGATATCCGAATTCTTTCCCATTTTCGTATCACTTAATTTCCATCTACCCCCTCCAAGAACGTCCACTGCCTTTGCTTCAGAAGCTCTCGTTCTCATGATACTTTGACTGTTACTCAGTGCTTGCTTCACAATGGGAATATTGTTCCAGATACCAAGATCTGCATCGATGGCTCTACATTACTGGTTTTCCTCCTCGACAAAAAATACTGTTTCTTGGCGGTGTGATCGATTCTGAGGAGCCAGGATCACTTGACTGTCTTGCGTTCATTGCTGCTATGAAGGTAAGATTTTCTTCTTCCAGGAACTTTAGTCACCATTTCTTTGGCTTTCTAGCTGTGCAGTTTTCTGATCAATCTCAACCAGCGCACGACGTGGTGAAAGAGAATTCAACCGGGATCACACATAAAGACACATGGTACGACCACACATATATAGTTTGGGTGTGCGTGACTAACAGCCCCCCCCCAGCTGTCGAAGCGTAGCGGTTTTTTGTTATATTTTATTCAATACAAGCAAAATACAATTTCCTGATGCAGATAACATTTGAGGTGTGCTTCGAAGTCCAATTAGAAGGCGATGAAGATGACAAAGGCTAAAATGAAGAACAACGAATGTAAATGTGATAAACAAAATGAAAAAATCAGGGAAATGCCGAATACATGAAAAGCGCGTTGCAAACTTTCTGCGATACGGCGCGAACGCGGATCCTGGGGCATAAAAATACTTCAAACTAACGGGCAGGACGCTTAGGCCGTTTTTATTTTTCATGTTTTGTGGGGATGGTGCGGCTCTGAGGGATATTGCAGAAGCAGCACAGTTGCTCTTGTTCTGGCCCTCGTCATCATCTTCGGTTCTTATTTTGCAGCACCTAAAATGTTATCCGCATCAGGAAATTCGCGTTTTACTTGTATTCCAAAGCGCAATTACAGGACTTGGCAAAGTGCCAGAGCGCTGGCACAACACGCGCCGCGCGGACGGCTGTTAGCATAAAACGTTAGTTCTGCCGCCGCAAAAGGCCATTCGGGCGAGCATGGAGGAAATAGCGTGTTCACGATCCAACACATCCAAACTATGTGTGATCGTACCATGTGTCTTTAAGCGCTGGGAGGGAATCGCTTCAGAGGGGTGGAGCTATTCAATCCGTCAATGGGTCTGGAAAATTGGAGGAAGGGAAGGTAAGAGGGTAAATGATTTGGGCGCTCAAATTAAAGGCAGTTGGCACGATAATTTGGTACTGGCCTAAAATGCTAGTAGGGCGCTATATAGTGGGGAAATGGCGAAAGAACGGAGTGAAACGGTCAAAATCCTGCGAAGAAAAAGCCTTCGTTTTCAATGACTTGAAATCAATTTTCGGACGAGTTTCCCGTAGGCATCTTGCCAATCACCGCTACCGAAGATACGGCTGCATATGTGTACCCATGTATGCATGCAGCATCACGGCCGCTTCATACCAATCCCTTCGCTTCATAATTTGCTTAGCAAATGAATGAATACGAGCGTCAGGAACGGTCGTCCATTTGTGGGCGGGCGGGCGTGGTGGGCGTTTGGGTCGGTAATGTTGTAGCTTGATAGGGCCCTATAGAGCACCCTCCTTTGAAAGGGTACTGCGCAGCGCCTTTTTCAGGGATGTGGAATTTATACTGCCTAGGCCATTATTAATCCTAACTCCTCTTTAGGGATTTATCGTGCCAACTGCCTTTAAGGGCTGCCAAACTAGGAGTGGCGTTGGAGGGGTCGTGCTTAACGCCCAACCGACTAATTTAACTGATCGCCTCATCTCAGCGTTCAGGTGCGCTTTCCCCATGATGTGTTCTACATCAGAGGAATGGGTGAAATGCTGCCAATTCAATTTCAACCTCGGTTTCGCAGACGTAATGACTCAGCCGTTCAGTCGTAAGTGACGTAAATACAAGGCTAGAACGTAGAGTCGCATCCGGGCGGTAAATAAGGCGGTGAGTGGGTGGCAGACGCGGCTGCGCCGCGTCACCAGGCGATCAGCTGTTTCCAGCCTATTTAGCCGATTTCTTCCTAAATCCAGGAATTCTCTAATTTTTGCGAACAATTAAATGGCTAAACAAACAATTAAACAAATACACAAATACATCAAAAGTCGCAAAAGCACTTCATTACAAAAGCAAAAAGAGGAATCCAATTTCCTAATATACTTCATAAGGACAAAAAAACAACTTACTTTGGGAAAAATGAATAATACAGTGAAAATTAGGGAGAAAATGGCTAAATAGGCTGGAAACAGCTGATCGCCGCGGTCGTGACGCGCCGCAGCCGCGTCGCGACCCTTTGACCGCCTAATCAACTGCCCGGATGACAACTGTAACTCTGCATACAACGAGATAAACAACAGCCTCCGAGGTGATTATAGAATCTTCCAATTTGATATAAAAATATTTCAGCGCTGCAACCCGATTGTGTAATAATCTCCCACTAATGGCACGGATTTCGAACCAGATTCTCGCGTGTACGTGGTCTTCACCGAGTACGCAACGGCTATGAATCACAGTTCTTCGAAACGCTGCTTCTATACTCCACTCATGAACTCTGTGCTCAGACCCAGGGGATAGGAGCTTTGGTTTAGGGATTCCTATCACAGAGTCTGGAATCCCTTCCCCGTTAACTCTGGCAAAAAGGTATCATTGTAAGAAGCTCACTGGTTGTGCTTCTACATAACTCGCTTGCTCTGCACCAAAAACGGCTACCTATGTGTAATGTCGTTATAACCGTCAGCTAGAAGGAGGACCTAAAGCAGCGAGTTGTGCCAGTCGGACTTCGAGAGGATTCCGAAGGAACGTCGAAAACCCTCCAGTTTTCTGTATGTTATGAATCCTGGTAGCAGCCGCAAGCAAGCGCTAAACTCACCTCCACATATCTAATTCCCACTCAGGCTATCCAGGTCTTGAATCGCCGGTTGGTACTTCAAAGTTATTTTGTATGAGAAATCGACATGTTGGCATCGGCAACCAATGAACTCGCTGTGTAGTGTAGTCACAGAACAGAGGTGTTGAGAAGTGATGAATTTGAGGCCAGGGTAGGTCCTCGTTGATGGGAACATAATACTACTCTCCCGATGAATTTTCCACCTCTGGTTTCCTACTCATTTTTGTTACCGTTTTCCTGGATTCTGCGAATTTATTCCGAAAATCCTTGAGTTCTTTCTCAGAGAACTGCTATCGTAGGGGTGGCGAAGGGAGGGGGAGGGAATGTATAGGGCACGTGAAACGATGGAAGTCGACAGCCAAAAAAGATTTTCCACAAAGGCAAATACACACCTCTCCCCCAATACGCCCTCCTCCATGCTTTGAGTGGAATGCACCAGACTACACAGGCCTAAAGGTATATGGCACGATAATTTGATACTCGGTCTAAATACTAGCAGGGCGCTATATAAGAAGAAAACTGCGAAGAAAACGAAGTGAAACGGTCAAGAACCTGCGAAGAAAAACCTTCCTTCTTAATCACTCGCAAAAAGTAGCTCTGGACGAGTTTCCCGTAGGCATCTTGCCAGTGACCGCTACGGTAGATACGACTGCGTGTATGTACTTACACACCCATGCAGCAACGCGGCCGCTTCATATCAATCCGTGCCCTTCATACTTGTACTTAGCAAATGAAGCAATACGAGCATCAGGTACGGTCGCCCATTTATGGGGGGCGAGCAAGCTGGGCGTGCGGGTCGGTATGTTGCAGCTTGATAGACCCTTAACATGGTACCTACCTTGATAAAGGCCGCTACGCACAGCGCCTGCTCAGGGCGACGGGATTCCGTCTGCCAGCATATCCCACTACGTCTTTATGTTAGCGGATTTATAGTGCATCCCTTAAAGGCAAGCCACGACCACAGATTGTGGGTAACGGAACCCACATAGGAACGAAAAAGGGCTAGGTATCTGATTAGCGGAGAAAAGCAGCAGAAAAACAGCCGAAAATGCCCTAAATAGGATTCCATATCGACCCCAACTTGTACATGCATGCAATGAAGAAAACGCATGTTTGTACGAATTTCCACTCGTCGTTATCATAAAGATATCAGCTCTTTTATCGTATCACCTCACTCTCACCATTCGGAATGGAGAGAGATAGCATAGTGGCTACTAGCTAGTAGCTAGCAGCCGGTGGGGGTCGGCATGGGCCTAAGGGGCGCCCATGGGCCTAATTGGTTAGCTTAAAGCGGAATTCTTGCCGATTTCTAGCCTTATTTTGTCGCGGAAGTGCCCTTTAAACTATAGTGAGTGTTTCAAGTAGAGAGCGAGAAGAATCCTGTTTCTTTTCTTCTCTTGTTCCAATTTTTCTCCAATGGTGTTTTCCCCTTCTCTATTAGGAAGCAGCACCCAGTTTATCAATTTTAATCTGCTGTCCTTTCAGCTGTCGAATTATGAGTGCATTGAAGCAGTAAAACGACCGTTCACCCTAGCGGACATGCCTACACTGGCCAAGGATCTTATTTTTAGCGAACCGACAGTTCGAATCGATATGTATCGGAAGAGCTACAGGTAAATGAAGCATCGAATCCGTGGTTTCACAAGAAATGCTAGATGTTTTCAATGCAGTGGAAAAAGGTCTGGAAAACACATTTCACAATTGTGACTCCTAGGTGGTTGGGCTAAATGTAGATTTTCTAGGACCGGTACGCAGAAGGCAAGAAGGCGATGGGGAGGCGGAGAATGACCGAGGTGGTGTAACGGCCAGTGGCCCAACTACTACATGGGATTTGAATTCCGGGCGGGCCCGGCACAAGCAAACCTTCTAGGGACGGTAATTTGCTACCAGATCAATCTGGGATGGTAGAATCACTGATTTATACACTGGCTAGCCTCCGAAAGTCATTGTTTGGGCCATGTCGCACTCTGTAGGCCGCTACGACTCTGAACGGGAGCAGAATGCATGCCGCATCCCAAAAGTTCCCTCCTTTAGCCTTTTCATTTCAGAGAACGGCTCTGCAACATTTGGCTTTGGTGCCGTGAGTCGGGTATGCCGTGACATGGGAGTAAGTGCATATCTTCTTTTTGTTTTGTTGAAAATGACCATGATCTACAATTTGCAGTTAATTTTAAGTAGAATATTCCAGCTAAAATTGATTGTTCGAGCACGGAATCCGCTAGATAGTGGCATATGTTGGCTTGGAAAAAAGCAGCGGCTAATCAGTTTATGGAGTGCTCCAGCAAAGGCGTCAAAGAAGGTGAGAACTATGTGATGTCAGCCCCTTAAGAGAAACATTCCGCGATCACCGATTGGACAGAGAAAAGGATAAAAGCTCATAGCCATTGCCTTTTCCTTCACTGGTGTGGCCCTCCTTTCAACACGATAGTGAGGACGAGCGCGTGTATGGGAAGAACATAACAACCATTAGCCGCCTCCTACGATTCTTCGCAGATTTGAATGGTATGGAATGTGCGCTCGATCGCAGGATAAAGTGAAAAGATCGATTAGAACAGTACATGTGATATAAAGGAATGGGCGCTATTGCTGGGGGCGGGTGGCTGTCGCCGACGTCATTGGTGGAAGGGCTGCGAGAGGGCGTTTGGCTACACCCCACTTAGCCCTTCACCTATGACGTTGGCGACAACCACCCGCCCCAGCAATCGTGCCCACTGTCTCTAATACAGTCATTCTTCGTGAATTCGATAAGACTTTGGCCTAAGAAGCAGCTCACCCAAGTGATAGGTATAAGAAATGGGGAAGTAATGGATTTGTTTATAGTATATTTCAGACATTTCACTGTTTTATCGGATATTTCACTTGAAATGAAAATAAGGGGACCGTCCATTATCATGGGACCATATTTAGGCCCGACA